CAAATTGTCTGCCAACACCGGCAAGCAAGGCATTGACTGTAATAAGCAGCATGCACTATTTATGATCACAAAGCTGGGCCGGGGAGGGCGAGCGCTGTCAAAATAAAAAAACATGTCAATCTGTTGCCTGTCTGCTAACTCACTTTTCTTCATGTTTGCATGTGATGTACAAAGCCGGGGGGGGGGGGGAATCACATCAAACTGGCACATTTCTTAAAGTTCCACACGTCTTAAAGGGGAGGGAATGTGAATCAAAGGGAATATCAAAGTGGGCAGAAGTGCGCCAATGTGGGAAAGTAAATATTTGCTCCTAATGGTTTGCGAGTGCACGTGACGCGCTGGTGCAATCGGGCGGAAAGCAAGGTGGGGAAAACGGTTTAGGTAGCAAAGAAAATGAGGCCAAGCTGTGTTTTAATACTTGATGGAGCATTGAAAATTCTCTATGAATTTCCCCAACTTCTTCCTACTCTGCACAATTATGCATGTTTATTCATTTTGATTAGTAGCGATGAAAAGTCATGTTCGTCGTGAGCCCCAGAGAAGAATATTGGTGCCACTCAGTGAGTGACAGTCCATCAGAAACCCGCGGCAAACTTTCTTCTTGTTTCCGCTTTCTACCTAGTGGAACAGCAGGTAACTGGAATCTGCTGAATTTTTCAGCAGTCTCGCAGGACGCCATTCAAAGGCAGCGGAGGAAATTTTGACTTAACTGGTTGTGACACTGATAATATGTCAATGAGCTGTCTTGGGTCCTCATCAATCGCAAAAGCTATTACTTCTTGCTGAGGCTTCCTTCGGAATCCAATAACGGACGCTAGACGGCGCAACCTCCAATCTCTACTAACCCCACCGTAGATATGAAGGCATGTGTGTCTCTTTCTCACACACACATCCACACACACACACACACAAACACACACAAATTGGGAAACAGGGATTTAATATTTCTAAAACGACATTTGACACCAATAGAAATAAATAAATATCAAAGTGGATCCTCCCTCCTGCCATAAACACACAATATTGCATGTGACATCTTTTTTCCCAAATGAGCCATTCAAAATGGAGTGTCCAAAGAACTACACAGCCCACCGGGAAAAATTCCCCATCGTCCCAATACCACTGGGATGACATACAAAGGATGCTTTTATGTGAATAAAACCTAATGTTTACATTCTTTTTTTTTTTTGAAGTACTTATGTTTATGCCATCATGGCGTGATGGCAAAAAATTGTGACGTCAACAAGCTTCAGCTGATAATATTTGCTTTCAGTGTCACTAACGCCGCTGAGGCTGGTTGGCAATCAGGGGACCTGATCCACATCATTGAAATTCTTTTGAATGTTTACACGTCTCCACAGTGGAAACAAGGCCACTTAAAGGTGAGGAAAAGTTCCAGGAAAAAAAGTCATGTAACTGAGCCTTAGCGTGGGATACAGAAAGGGGAGGGGTAGTTTGCTCAGGGGTGGGGGGGTCAGGAGTGGGGGTGATTGGTGCTGAAGATGGGAGGGTGGGGAGAGGGGTGTCTCGGTTTGAGGCAATGCTGCTGGAGAGCATGACAGCTTTGGAGTATAATAATAATAAAAAAGAAACACCAATTGCCTTCCCACAGCTGAGCACCTACAGGTCATTATTTTAAAAAAAAACACTTTTTTGTGTTTGTGTTTTTTAATAAATCACTGGGCCACTCAGTGTGTGATTGTGGTCAGCCAGTTGGCCATCCCTGCTCTAAATTGTCCTTAGATGTGAATATGAGTATGCATGCTTATTTGTCTAACAGTGTACAGTATGTGCCCAGTGATTGGCTGGCATCAATTCCAGGGTGTACCTGCCCCTTGGTCAGCTGGAATAGGCTCCAGCACTCTCGTGACCCTAATGAGGATACGATAAGACAAGATAAGATAAGATAAGATATCTTTAATTTGTCCCACACTGGGGAAATTTACAGTCTACAGCAGCAAAATTGGGGGTAAAAAATAAGCAGTATAGAAAAGGGACAGATGTATGTCAGGCTTGTTTTAAATGGACACAAATGCTCCTCTTACTTATTTGAGCGCGAGGTAGACTGGAGTTTCTCATTTGGGTTACAATGATGGTTTTCCATTTAATGTTTTTGTAATACTGTATTAGGTTATAGACTGATGCATTGAAGTTCTCTACCCATGTCATTTGTGGCCACCTTGAGGAGAATTGAATATGGGATGAATACAACTCACTACTCTGCACAATTATGCATGTTTATTCATTTTGATTAGTAGCGATGAAAAGTCATGTTCGTCGTGAGCCCCAGAGAAGAATATTGGTGCCACTCAGTGAGTGACAGTCCATCAGAAACCCGCGGCAAACTTTCTTCTTGTTTCCGCTTTCTACCTAGTGGAACAGCAGGTAACTGGAATCTGCTGAATTTTTCAGCAGTCTCGCAGGACGCCATTCAAAGGCAGCGGAGGAAATTTTGACTTAACTGGTTGTGACACTGATAATATGTCAATGAGCTGTCTTGGGTCCTCATCAATCGCAAAAGCTATTACTTCTTGCTGAGGCTTCCTTCGGAATCCAATAACGGACGCTAGACGGCGCAACCTCCAATCTCTACTAACCCCACCGTAGATATGAAGGCATGTGTGTCTCTTTCTCACACACACATCCACACACACACACACACAAACACACACAAATTGGGAAACAGGGATTTAATATTTCTAAAACGACATTTGACACCAATAGAAATAAATAAATATCAAAGTGGATCCTCCCTCCTGCCATAAACACACAATATTGCATGTGACATCTTTTTTCCCAAATGAGCCATTCAAAATGGAGTGTCCAAAGAACTACACAGCCCACCGGGAAAAATTCCCCATCGTCCCAATACCACTGGGATGACATACAAAGGATGCTTTTATGTGAATAAAACCTAATGTTTACATTCTTTTTTTTTTTTGAAGTACTTATGTTTATGCCATCATGGCGTGATGGCAAAAAATTGTGACGTCAACAAGCTTCAGCTGATAATATTTGCTTTCAGTGTCACTAACGCCGCTGAGGCTGGTTGGCAATCAGGGGACCTGATCCACATCATTGAAATTCTTTTGAATGTTTACACGTCTCCACAGTGGAAACAAGGCCACTTAAAGGTGAGGAAAAGTTCCAGGAAAAAAAGTCATGTAACTGAGCCTTAGCGTGGGATACAGAAAGGGGAGGGGTAGTTTGCTCAGGGGTGGGGGGGTCAGGAGTGGGGGTGATTGGTGCTGAAGATGGGAGGGTGGGGAGAGGGGTGTCTCGGTTTGAGGCAATGCTGCTGGAGAGCATGACAGCTTTGGAGTATAATAATAATAAAAAAGAAACACCAATTTCCTTCCCACAGCTGAGCACCTACAGGTCATTATTTCCTCTGTTGGGCTGTAATGTGAAAATCCCAAAGCCCCGGCTTGGAAAACTTCCCGCCACTGGATCAACAGTAAATAATGACTCCATTCCACCGCTATGACCTCTGGCAAAAAGAACAACAGTCCACTAACCTACGTGGTGAAGTCAGGGAACATAAAGGCACGCATGTTTCATGTGTTGCGTCCATGAATCTCTTACGGCGACCCGGCAGCGAGGAATGATAAGAGCGCGTAAACACTGCAACTCCTGAGGCCGGGCTAATGAACATGCTAGGACAGGAATAGTTCGTGAACTAGTCAGGGCCGTCTTCCAAAATATCCACTCCCACACAGGTCAGTGGACTTGGCTGCATCCTAAGCGGCGCTGGGGAGGGAGGGAGCCGCTTAAATGCCGGGGATCTGAGGAAAGAATTCGACGGGGCATGGGAATGGCAGTGTCACAGCAGTCGCCAGAGAACGGTCTTAAAAAACTCAGCCGCCGCCACAGCCCGCAACAAAGCAGTCGTGCTCCTGCACAGTTTCAAGCCTGACAAGTTTATTTTTTGGAGGACGAGAAGTGTCTCTCGAAAACAAATGCCATGCGAAACCAGAGTTCTGTTTACTGGCGTCAGATAACCGCAGTCACAGGGAGGCCAATTAGGACAGAGGGCAGTCGTATCGCGGTTGCCTCTTGACCTTTGTCAGGTAGAGCATGACCTCGTAGGGAGGAGAACATGATGTTGGGAGGATGGAAAAACATTGTTCACTTTTGTTGTTGTTTTTTTTTCCCTCGAGTCATAATTGAATCCAAGTATTTCCTGACAAGGAGGGAGGCGCCGCTAACTAATCACAGATAATGCGCTTATAATTTATTTCAATTACTGGCAGCTCAAGGCCAACGGAGCTGGTGAGGGAGAGGGCAAGCAGCATTGGGAAAGGGTCAACACCCACGAAAAGAGATGCATATGCCTTCATGAATCCCTGTCTCAGCTCAGAGAAGTCACAAACTACACTACTGCTTTTGAGTGAAACTCCACTTTGTGGCTGGCCCACCGCTGAGAAGTGGCAGTCCACCACCGGTGACCGTCAGATTTTACGGTCATTTCACAGGCACAATTCATGATAACGTCGGCTTGAACTTGGTGATTTTGCGGTGATTAGTCTGCAATTAGAGCACAACTATCTGGCGGATTTGCAATTAAAACAGCAAACATGCAAATTCACACTGATTTCATGGCCCAGTTTAAGGAAACAAAGCGGCAGAGGAGGGTTGTCACAGCATAGAGTGACAAAAAAAAAAAAGGAAGCTCATCACAAGGTGTTAATTGAAAATTGTTTTTTCAAACAGCCCCACCCTCAAATATTGTTATTACCCTTTTTGTTGCACCTATCACACCCTCATGATGCTAATCAGATCTCCACTCGCCTTCAAACATGCCACTTCCCCTCAAAATCATTGGACATGTTTTGAAGAAGAATCTCATGGAATGGGGAGGGGGCCTAATTAATGTTTGATGACGCCGTCAGTGTATTTCCTTGGCTGGGACTCATCTCACAGTTTAAGCAGCAGGAAAAGTGGAGGCGGGAGTACACGAGAGGAGGAAATGGCTTCCCATGCAACACGATTAAAGAATTGGAAATTCGAGACTCAATTTGGAAACTTGAGTGTGTTTAAAATGCTCTTTTGTTAGAAAACGAAACTTTTCTTGCCATTAGGCTACCCCCCCCCCCACCTCTCTCCCTCCACTACGACAGCCCATCCCATCTCATCTCACAGAAAGCATTTCCTGTGTGTCTCGGGTGGTATTTATCTGGAGAAGGCGAGCTTCTTCGGGCGGGGGCATGGGGAGCGGCGAGACAGACGCCCTGAGGTAAGCGGGGCAACCACCCATGAACACGCGTGCATTATTAAAACCGGACAGTGAATCAAAATCTAAATCAGGATTAAAACCTGGCCTGAGGCAGTGAGGATGATCAAAAAAAGGAATTATTAACCTTTGGTAAAGGGAAGAAACGAGGACGCAGTGAAAGTAAAACATTGAGATGCAAAAGTTGAGGTGAGGAAAAAAGACTAAAATAATTTGCTGCCATGAAACTGAAACTAATTGTAATAAGCAAGTCAGAAACCTGCCGTTCAGACCAAAGTGTTAAAGTAAGTATGAAAAAAGAAATATGGAGCCTCCTTGGTGACACACTCCTTCACTTCAAATATGTGGAGAAGAAGAGCAGGTCCTTCCTTCCTGCGGTTGTCACACTTTAAAAACAACACTGCTTTCAGCTGTAAATAAAGTTATACTACATATATTTTTTGTATTGTATTGCCACTACACTGCTGATGTTGTCATTATGCTCAGTCCCATTGTCTGGTGTAGTATACAATTGTTATTTAAATTAACTGGAAAACCCACGCAGGCACGGGGATAACATGCAAACTCCACACAGGGAGGCCCGAGCCAGAAACTGTGAGGCGGACGTACAAACCAGTCAAACACCATGCCGCCCACCAATCATGTCATAAAAGATATTTTTGAAATGTATATGCGTAAGTGTTTAATTTGACATATATATATATATATATATATATATATATATATATATAACTTTTACAATAAATCATTTAACCATAATTATTCAATGAGATAAGTAAAATACAAAAGTAATGGCCAAAATTAAAAAAAATAATTCTATTAAATAAATGAAACAAGTATTAAGGCTAATACGTAACTTAAAATGTTTTTTACAGTTTGTGAACATTTGATGATCACATCGGTTTGTCCCTGGAACAAACTGGAACAATCAATTCCAAGGGATTACAAATGGTTTTCCAGTACAAACAAATTGGAGCTGGGCCTGTGGCCCCAAATGGATTGTGGTCCAACTTGGAGGTTCCACTGTCGTTGGCACACTACCTTCATATTCCGAACCCCCAGTCTCCACTAACCCGGTCCGGCCTTTGCTGTGTGTCCTCATGTCCTTGTTGGATAATATCATTGTAGGTGAACATGACAGATTGTGCTTACCTACAAAATCCGGCATTAGAACCCTTTAAAAAAAAAAAAAAAAAAAAAAGCCTCTTACATGGCAAAAATCAAATCTGTCCCATCCTGAGCGAATGCCAGATCGACTCAGGTAATGCGGGCTGAAGCTGACGGCACAGATCCACCACTGGCTGCACCCTCCTCACCGCTGCTATAATTCTCCATCATCTATCATTTGCAAAACACACTGTGGCATGTGAAGTCATTAATTAGGGAGACAAACAGATGAGAGAGAGTGAGAGAGAGGGAGGTTTTATGCTGATGGCAGGTTTCTGAGGTTGAAATGGACCGTTGGGCTTAAACATGTTGATAGTGACGTGGGGATAAGCTCTCTCTCTAATTCCTCTGGTCACTGCGGTCAAACTCTGGCTCTATCTCCCCTCCTCAGTCTCTCCTGCACATGCTGGATAGAGCTAATGTGTTTTAATGCCCCGGCTAGGATTTTCCACTCAAAATAAGTGAAGCACACTGATGGTCAGCAATGCAGGTGCTTAAAAAAAAAAAAAATCACGTATAATTTGTACTTTTAGTTTTTAGTTTCCCATAAATTTCCAGATCTCTTTAGGTTGTCGTTTCTTACAGAACCAGAATAAAAACTAAATTTCCTGAACGCCAGAAATCAGACTGATCAAACTGTTGCTGTAAATGCAGCCTGAAAATATGTTGGTTGGTGTCCACTGCTGCTTTTCCATCCATCCATCCATACTACCATCATCCCTCCATCCATCACCCATGTATCTTCCTATCTATCAGCGCCCTTGCACACTTACCTGTTGAACTCAGTTAAGACCATGGAGTCCCACATAGAAAGACAACAACACATTATTTAGGATAGGCTGCATTTGTATCTAGATGCGGCTACGGCAGTGTAAGAATACGCTTCATTTTGGAGGAGACAGACCTTCATCCAGAAATAACAGAAAACGGCTCCACAGCCGTGTTTCGTTTTTGATGTCATTTGATAATAACTCATACAGCATACAATGTTGGGTTACTAAATTTGGAACATAAAACCCACTCCTCGCCCTCAGAAATTTCAACAATCTACACACCCTTGAGGTATAGGCAGAATTTTATCTATTAAAAGAAGGCTTTCTGCTTACCCTATTGGTGGCTCTAGTTGAATTGTTAAAAAAATAAATAAATAACTGCAAGTATAAGACCACAAGGTCACAGCACCAACTGAAAAGTTCAGAATCAATGTTCACTGGTCCTGTTACCTCGAATGTGTGCAATATTATTCTAACAGTAACTACCAGAAAACTGTCTATTGCCAGTTTAACTATTTCATGGATGCCAGATATTGTGAGCATGAAAAATGAAAAGATGGGTGAAAGTTAATTCAGAACTTTTCACGTCCGTCCATCCATCCATCCATCCATCCATCCATCCATCCATCCATCCATCCATCCATCCATCCATCCATTTTCTACTCAATTTAGGCCAGGTTATGGCAGCAGCAGCAGCGTAGGCAGGAAAGCCTAAAGCTCTTGCAAAGGTATCCTAAAATGTTTCCAGGCCAGTGGAGCGGATTCTGGGTCTCACCCAGGGCTTCTTCCCAGTGGGACATGCCCGGAAATACTTTTCCAGGGTGGCATCTATGGGGCATCTTAACCAGATACCCGAACCACCTCATCTACCTCCTCTCAATCTTAAGGAGAAGCGGCTCTACTGTTCTTCCTGATGACCAAGCTTCTCACCTGATTTCAAAAGGAGAGCCCAAGACACTCTGTGGACGAAACACATTCCAACCATTTGTTTCCATGATCTTGTTCTTTCGGTCACAATCCACAGCTCGTGACCAATTAAGAGTGGGAACAGATCAAAGAGTGTTTTTGGCTCAGCTTGTTCTTCCACTGCAGATGTTGCACCCATCTGCCTGTCGTTCGATCTCTTGCTGAATCCTTTCCTCACTTTCTCCACTGTACTTTTACCAAATCAGTTGCTTTAGTTAGGATTATGCCAAAATAAAAATGTTTTTTCTTCATGTGCATTGAAGTCCCCTGCTCAGAGACAAACTTGAATATGTTCAATTCCTGTTAATTCCCAACATTTTTTTGCAACCTTACATGATTGCATGAGAATGATGGTACCATTTATGATGTCACACTGATGTCACAATCTCACACACACACACACACACACACACACACACACGCACACACACACACACACACACACACACACACACACACACACACACACACACACACACACACACTTGGGCTGTACATCAGTGTTGCGTCTTTTTTATTTTTTCTTGAACAGCATGTCGCACCTTGCAGACTCCCAACAGGTGCTTCTTGGATGTGACTGCAGTTGATTGGCTGCCAGCTGGCAGCAGTGAAGTCTTTTTATGGTTGCAACGTGAGTCAGCGAGGAGCGAGGCGAGCATGAGGGGCGGACAGCGATACAAGGACCAGAACCTGATTGGATTTCAAAGGGTTTGGCAGGGGCTGCTGCAGGAGGAAACCTGCCAAGAGATGGTTCCTGTGTACTTCGACAACGGTAAACGGGAAGTTTAATCAGTGCTATATTGAAATGGTGATTTCCTGCACTTGTATGCACATACGCACTCGCACACAAACACTAACTTACAGGTCTATTTTGTATGTATACAGAACACATAGAGTTTTGATGTAAGAAAAATGCATTTGAAATGAACATTTCGGCTTTTACTTCAAGGTATGTAACAGAAACATTTTGAGTGACAGCAATGACCTCTCGAAAAAATGAACAAAAAGTCGAGATGCTACATTAGAAAATGCAAGCCAGTCATCAGCAAAGAGAATGTGAAGGCTACATTGATGCGAATTGATGATGCTAAAATTAAACTTGAGAGAGGAAGCAGAGGTACCTGTTCATGACGGCAAAAATACAAGCTCATCCATGAAATAAGGCAAGCAATGCCATGCCTTTATTTTCCATGGGTTTTTTGGGACTGGCTTATTCTTCTTCATTGATGGACGACAAGATGGCAGCAGCAAAAGTAACTCAAAAGTCCACAGAGTCAGAATCAGAATCACCTTTATTGACCAAGTATGTAGAACACACAAGGAATTTGTCTCCGGGAGAACACGCTGCACTAGAGTCATCATAAACAAGGACATGACAAATAAGTATGGAAGGACATTCTGTAATGTAAGTGTACCGTTGTGCAGTGGTACCACCCAGTGACAACTGTGAGACAATGTGCAAAGTATCAAACAGAGCTCAAGTGATCAGTGGTAGAATACAATACTATAACAGTTGTACAGTTGGTGCAGAAAATCATTGAACCATTTTAAAGTGACCAGTAGCAGTATTTGTAGTACAACAAGTGTGCAATTATACAGATGTCCTTGAGCACTTTAAACAGCTTCTTCCCTCGAGCCATTAACTCCCTAAACAGTAACCCAAATCTACCTGTATAGTGGCTCTTTGCAATTTTGCACAACCCTGTGGAACAGCATCCCATTATAGTTATTGTAGCTCCAGCTCTGTACTCACTTGAACCACTGTCACTGATCTATATTCCACAGCACCAGACACTTTAAGTGTCTGCTGGATTTGGTGCGCATGGATCGGTAGCGCCTGCCGAAGGGGAGTAGCTGGAAAAGGTGGTGGGCAGGGTGCGGGGGGTCCAGTAGGATTTCCCGTGCCCTTGTCTTGGTTCTTGCGGTGTGCAAGTCCTCAAGAGTGGGTAGGGCGGTGCCAATGATTTTTTCCGCCGTCCTAACTGTCCGTTGCAGTCGGACTTCAGATATTCTGTATTTCGTCTGCCAAATTTAAGGAATGATGCACAAAACCGATTGGAAGAATCATCATGCAGCAAGACAATGACCCCAAAACACACTGCCAGCGTTCCTCAGGGAGATTAAATGGAAGATATTGAGACTGGACCAAGTTTATCTCCAGACTTGAAACCAAAAGAACAAATATTTGACCTGCAAAGAGACTGAAGGGAATAAACCCCCCAAGCAAACAACATCTGAAAGAGGCTGTGGTGTAAACCTGGAAAAGTATCACAAAAGAATGCCTAAGTGTTGTCATGTCAGTGTGTCACAGACTTGATGTAAATATTCAAAGCAAATAATTTGCAAATAAATATTTTCCAATATCACTTCTCACCTAATTTTTTTTTGTTATAATCCTATCATGTGCATCAAAACCAGAAGTAAATACATGAAAATAAAAGTTGAAATATTTGATCTCGTGTCACATATTCATCTTTTGATGTCAAAACCAAATGTTTCAAAGTCTAGGGAAAAAAAAATAAAGGAATTAACCACACTGTTTAAACACTATTCAGGATGTGTTTATGAAAAGCAAAAGACAACCTGAGAAAATACTGAATTTCTGAAGTCAAACATGAAATGACATCTCGGCATCACAATTCAGCATTTCTGCCGATACACTCTGTCCACATTTCTGGGCAAAGCCGTGATTATCTCCTTGCGAGCACAAGGATTAAGAAGCCTAGTCTCGGTGTTGCACCTGACTGAACCAGCCTCTCTCCCGCACGGCAGGATAATGCGTCCTCTCTGGCCAGCGCTCCCTCCAACCTCGCCCTCAATTTACTCAGATTTGATCTCCTGAATTATGGCTTACTAACCTGGCTAACAGCTGCTACAAGGAGGGCTTCTGCTGCATATTTAATGGCATGAATTAAAGATAACCTGGAGGCTGCCTCCCACGGGCATGCGGGAGTGGATAGGTGATGCATGTTACAAGAGGGTCAAGGCCCTCCACTGCCCCTTCATCAATTCATGTAATCTTGCACTTGCTCCACCAAGCCCTTCACGATGCCTTACCGTGAGGCGAGAAAGGTTACTTGTACGCCGAAACAGGGTTTTTTTTTTTCCTGCCCGGAATTTTTTATTTTTTTTGAGAAGTTTTTCTTTTCTTACATTTTACTTGGAATGTTTTGCATGAAACCCAAACACTCCATAAACAGGATATATTGCACATTTCTCCCCATATGAAATTATTTGAAAATGTTTAAAACTGTCCTAGTTGAAATCTGGAGCTGATTAAGTAACACGTTGATTTTCCCAACTGTCAAACAAGGGTTAAAAAAGTTACTGGTACAAGATCAACACAATTAATAGTGTATTTATGACTTTTGATGAGTAGTGAAACAAAAGCGACACGATAACAAAAATACATCTTTGTTCTCCCCAGCTGTGCTTGGGAGGTTTGTCTTTGCATATGGGGACAACAATTTCCGATTTACATTACATTCAAGTTGCTCAAGAAGAAGAAAATATTTCAATATTGGGATATCTTTGTATTTGTGTGATTTTAGAAGTTCAAAATTGGCATTGTGGAAAAAGATTTAAATGCTCCTTTGTCTCATTGCCTGTAGAGTGCCCATATAAGTGTTTGTCTTTTCAGTCTATCCGGGACAGGTGACAGGTTCTTCAAACACGGAACCGCACGACTGCCAGTAGTCTCACCGTGAAACCCTTCATCTCTCTTGAAATCCCACAGTGGAGCGTGAGCACTGCCAAGCTGGTGAGTCTCAGGTGCAGCGGTTCTTCGCCAGACGACAGATGTACGGAGATCTCCCACGGCACTGATCCCTATTAGATCGCTGCAATTACCCCCCCAGCCCTCTCACTGCTAACTCTGCTTCAAATTAGCATCTGGCCCCCCTGAGGCAACCGGCACCTCCCGTTAGTGCAGACCAAGGTTAATGTCAGGTAAGCAGGTCAACAGGCGATCGGGTGATAATTATGTTTTGACTGTCTGACCCCGGCCATTTAGCACCGGAGCGGGGGTGTGTTTGTCTAAGGTGCAGGAAACCGCCATATCCTTTTCCCCAGCCAGCCCTCGTCACCATGACCACAAGCACATTCTTTAGATCTCCATGGCGATGAGGGAGGCACTTAACATCCTCTTGTTAACTACACCAATGACAAGCAAATACCGTTGCATGGTGGGATCCCTTTTCTGATTCATCTCGTTGATTCATCTCTTCAGTTCTGAGCCAATGTGTGTCATTTCCTTGCATGGTAACCTAATTGCATTACCCAGCATGCACTCCCCTGTTTCTTCACGCGGTGCCTCTTCAGGTGAGGCAACCTGTAGGGATGAAACACAAAGGGCTTGAGTTAGCGTGAAGTGCTTTTTGTTTTGGAGATGCTTAATGTATGTTGTGTGCATCTCTGACTCACACAAGGGAGAACTGACCATTTGAGTCAATTTAACAAAGTAAGCTTAGTACGGAACACTTTCAACTAGCTTGTAATAATAACGATACAAGTTCCTAACTAAACCTGTCTGCTTTGTACACAATCCTACAAACAAGCACAGGTAGTGCCACCACATGAAAGGCAGGTCTTAAATGCATGGCGCATCCGCTTTTCTTTGCATGCCTTACTTGGCTTTTCCGCTTTCTGGTGGTGTCGGCTTGCAGCGCAAACATGTGCATAAACCAGGTGAAAAAAAATAAACAGTACCAAACAAATTCTAAAGCTTAAAGGTATCTGGCCTGTCACAGAAAGAAGCAACTGAGTACTTTGTTTACTGTGTCATGGAGTCAAAGAGGCTCAGGCCCCGTTGCTGTTCTGATGTGGGCTCTAATTAGTTTCCCAGCAGCCTTTACCTGACTCCAATCCCCCTCATGCTCCCACACGTCGTCTGCTTGCCACTTCCAAACCAGAAACATTTGCTCCTCCGCTTCGTCACCGTAGCTGCATGTCGACACTTTACAGTCTGCTCGTCCTATTTGGCACACATCAGCTGTCAAATGTTGAGCATATTTCTGTGCATGTTCCGTGGCACCCTTGCCAGTCGGCCCAACCTTGATCATCTGTGCGGCTCTGTATGTAACTACAGTGCGTATCTCGTTAAGGAAACTACGTTAACTGCAGAGAGTTGAGCCAGGCGTGCTGGCTTATGATACAAAGGTGTTTGAGGCAACCCTCAGGTTCGCCTTGAAGGAAAACTGCGACTAAGCCTCTGATCTGTTTCCCCTCCATCTCCTTTCCTGCTGCCTGCGTGGTTAGCCGCCACGCTCCGCTGAGCCGTGTTTGTTCCCCTCGGAGAAAATTTGTATGCATACTGTACATGAACTTTAGACAAATAAACGCCCAAAGAGCAGCCATATAATTGAGAAGGAAGTCAGGCAGGCATGCGGAGAGACGGGCCAGCAGCGGAGCAATTTCTCAGAAGATGTTGGCGAAAAGGGAGCGGACAGGTATGATTATAAACCTAACCAACATACTGTTAGAACAATGTGATCCCTGGCACACGCCTGAGGTCTGAGTGAGTTGAACAATTATCAATGACTCAACCAGCTAGTATTGTGTTTCTGGTCAATTGTGATCATGAACGTAAACATGTATTTTAAATCATTGAAAATGGTTACATTCTAGGTTAGAAGTTTCTCATTTGGAGACCTAATATTTATTGTTGGGCCTTCGTCAGAGCTGTCGCCACTTACGCGTTTAAAAACAGCTGTTCGTGTTGGGAAACATGGGAAATCAACAGAAGAAAAAAGAAAGGAAGACAAACAAGAGATCAATACTGAAAAAAGGACTTTGTAATACTTCCATACACTGTAAAACATGTATTTGTAAAATAACAGTAAATGACTGGGACGCCAGTCATTTACTGTTATTTGACAATAGCAAGACAATTTTCTCTTTATAGCACATTTCACACATTCACTGTGCTTCAACAATTCTAGAATGCACCTACTGTAATTTAATTTAACAGTACAGTACTGTATTTTGAATTCCAGTATATTCCCATAGGAAAATAGTGCGTAACTTTACACCGCATCTGCTATCATTTCCTTTTGATAGTATACAACTATATTTAGATTACATTACATAACAGTAGGATAACTGTGATATTGTACTTTTACAGCACATACCAGTTTTTATAAAAATAAAGCAAGAATGCATCTGATTTATATCCAATTTCGATCACACATTTTCTGTCACACATTTTTTTTTCAATGAGCCAAATTCATCGTCCTTGTTGAATAGGTTAGTGGGTGTCACACAGCCATAATATCACACAGTTTAAATATCCGACACATTGCTCAGTACTGTACATCATTACAAATCAGAACTTATTTTTTCAAAGTGTACCACATTGTTGTGGTTGTTTTTTTGTTGTTGTTGTTGTTTAAACAGGGTGAGTTGCACTAGACTGGAAAGCATACAAACTGCTTAAAATCATCAGGGTTGTTAGATGCAAATAGTTCAGAATTGTTTTGCTTTCAAATTCCCCCAAGACAGCTCAGGTACAGGAGTTCCACTTTAATGGCTTTAGCTTTGATGGGATTTGCTGGTCTCTGTCATATTGACGTGCATCTGGGCAAAAAGCAGCCATGCAAATAATTAAATTGGAAATGGTCTGTATTGGGGAGTAGAAATCAATGGTGCTCATTGTGAAAGACAAAGAGTCAGCTTGTCGTGCAGGTAAAACAATCTCTCATCGGAAGGACAAAAAAAAAAAAAAAAAAATGCAGGAAGACAAAGTAGTGGTGTGGAGAACTCTAATGACAAAAAGCCTGCATGTGCCATGACAATATCTGCATGCCATTAAAAGACGATCAGGCTCAGGTGGCTCATATTAACCTGAGAAAATAGAGGGAACATATTTCCTCCTTTAAGCGCTGCGGCAGCAGTCGCGGGGGTAAATTGAATTCCGGGCCGTCACACCTACGAGCTTCATTGAGATTAATTACTCGCCTCGACCCCACGCATGCCTCCGAGATCATTTTAGCTCAGTAGTGCAGGACAGCAACCCCTGCAACCCAAAGAAAGAGTGGGTGGCCGCATAAAGGCTGGGAAAGGAACGATACTATCACTTGCATTGTTGTGTTACAATTAATTAATTTCAAGGTGATTATACATTTCGGAGCATGATTTTACCCCCGCAGACCACAAAAGGAATATCACATGGTTGCTGCGGCGCCGATAAGCAGAACAATGCTGGAGGTAATATTCAAATGTTGTCAGGACAGACTAATAATAAAGGCTAGTCATTTAAATATTAATTTAATAACATATGTGTTGAATATACCTTGTAGTCAGCCACACACACGACAATTGCACATTGCCCTGAGCTGTATTTGCAGCTGTGACCTATAAATCCCAAGCACGCTGCCATGTCAACATTAGGAGAAGAGGGGATGTAAGGCAACGTGACAGTGCCGATAAGCACTCGCGCAACCGTCATGAAAACGCGGTAATAAAATAAGAATCATACTTTAAGTTCTCTGAATAGAAATTGATCACCAGCCAACAAATCACATCGCAGTTCATATTAATTTCAGCCAACCGGGTATTTAATGGGAATATAACACAATGTATTTAACCGTACGTTCAGTGAGTTGCACAAAACACAAGTGGACATATTATTTTGTCATAAACTGAAATTTGTATAAAAGACAAAAGATATTTTTGCCTCTATCATTAATGTACGTATGCTAACTCAGGAGTAAAGTCCTGATTAAGCTCATTTTTTAAAAGTAATTTAAAGGAAAAGTACAATCAGCACATGATTATAAAATTGTCCCTTGCCTTTACTTCTGTGGTCGCCTTGTGCAGCTTGGAAAGTGTCATGTCTCAACGTACAGTATTCTTAAGCCCAAAACTAGTTCAATGTGCTCTATTGGTAGTTATGGCGTTAAAATGTCTTAATAATATGCCGGCAGATATATTGGGGTTTGCGCCATAACCACAAAACGTCGTAGATTCATAATCGAGACGAACATCCCTCCAAAAATTATTGGCATTTATTTATCACTCGAAACCGTGACACTCCAGTTACAAAGTCTTCTCGAAGTGAGACAATTGATTTCACTACTTTTTACAATGCTCATCTGAATTAACATGAACAATCACTTGAGAAACAAACTGACATCTGACAAAAATGAGGATACGGACTTTGCACGCCTTTTTCTTCTTCAAACTGGGTATGTGGCTGCATTCTGCTGACATTACTACTGACATTTTAGCTTGTGTTAAATAGTCGTTCGTACAAACACGTCATCATTCAGTTGACTGATTGACCCCCAAATAAAATGAATCTGTTCTGGTAGGATTTCCTTCATATTTCCTTGTTTGCATCTAACAGCAAAAGATCCACAGAGAGCCTCCGAAGCATCAGAGCCATCTCATTATTAAAAGGTATCAGTCTGGAGAAGAGTACAAAGAATTTTGAACACATTCGCTACGCCAGAATGAGGCAAGTCCGTCTCTCTCTGCTTAGGCTGCTGCCCTCTGGATCAGTGGATGGCGATAGATGGAGGAACATGACTGAGAACTGGGCTTTTATCCAAAATTGATGAAAAGACAAGAAGAAAACTGGTCACGGAATCTGCAAAGAGGCCTGCGGCAACAGTGAGAGGAGCAGCAGGAATTTCTGGCAGGTAGTAGCTGCCTCCAACATGTGAGAACAATCTCCTGTATTCTTCATGTGTCTGGGGCTGGGCTAGAGCGAAAGGGTGGCAAGATGGAAGCCTTTTGTTTTGGAGAAAAACCTCCAAGCCCAAAAATATACACTTGAAGCTTCGGACTAAATATTTTATCAACAAAAGAACATCACAAGAGATCCCCTCACAATGTGACAAGTCAGAAAGTGCCATGCTGACTCATTCCTACTTAAGAAAGACGAGACTGCTGTAATGAAGTCTGAAGGTGCTTGACCAATTTATTGGTTTGTGCGCATTTACGGGTATGCATGCAACCAGATAATCCCCCCCCGCCCCCCACACACACACACATTTTCTCCGCAAAATGGTTTTATTTCCGTTTCACGTGAATAGATGAACAGGTTATTCTTCGCAATTTTTATTTTACGTGTTTTAGTACCATTTATGGTGATTTCATTTGTTTCCATCTCAAAAGGGAAATATGTTTTAACAGCCGTGATTGAACTTTCTTGAACTATTTTCCTTTCTCCACTGGCTGAGAACCAGCAGCTTGTTCTTGCTCTGAACGAAACACCGGCCAAATGATGGAAACACACACGAGAACGCACAGAAAGTCCACCTTGACCCGTTGGCATCCGGTTACAGATTCCTCACTGCCTACCTCACTGAGGAGGATCACTTTCATACAAATCAGCAATATTGACACATATCATAAGCCAGAGGAAGCTGATGAAGTGTGTCGAGATGCTTTCAGCGATTCTATGTTGTGTACATGCTACACAAGTGAGCAGCAGTTAAATTGCAACACGTGTTTATGCAATGTCTGCAAGGGAGAACATATTTAGTGTTCTTAAGTTGTGTCAGGATTTAAATGGCAAAGCTTTATGTGGACCCAAGGTGACAAAAACTGCGCTAATGGGCTGATGCAAAGAATTGCAGTCAGGGTGTGCATGTATATTCATACTCATGCCCCCTTTCGTGTCCTCCTGCAAATCTTTTCTGGCACATCTGACTAGTTTGAGTGGCGCTTTGTATTACCAGCGACCTGCACAGTTCAAGCTCTATTTGTTCTCAGGTTGTCGATACATACCGGACCTCCAAGGAAAGGGGATTAGACCTGCAAAAGTGTGAGCCGTTTTATATGTGACCTGCTCATCTAGGCATCTTATATTCATATCCAGGCCTGCTTGCTTCACGCATCACATCCCCTTGGGTCGGCCCGAATAACCTGAGATGAGGATGAGAAGGCAAGAAGGAGGGGAGCAGCCGTGCAGGTCTTCAGAGCTTCTGTCGACACTCACCAGGTTCTCTATTTTCCCTCCTAAATCAATAAGAGGGCTCCTGTGGGGTCTCTTGGCCGGCCATCTGGACTCAAATCCGGGGGCTCAGGTTGTCCCCTGGGACTTCCACACCCGCCTCCCAACCCTGTACGTACAACGACCTGGCATGAAGTTAATGGTTCTGCCAACCCCGACTCCCCCAATCATCACCGTCCTGCCTTCTGTCTGCTCATACAACTTCCATCTAATCTGTCCGGCTGTGACTCAAATGTCAGGCCACCTGGGAAAAGCAGCTGCTGGCCTGCAATGAGAGCTAACGCCGTGCTATAGTCCCAGCATGCATTGCTTTGAGGATGTGCCCATTTTTATGACTTTTTTTGCCAGTTTGGTGAGAATAAGTATCATGCGTTGGGGTGTGTTTGTTGAGGTGATGTGCCATCAAACAAAGCAGGTAGACCCAAGTGCAGGGAAAACAAGGCACAGGGTCACAGAAACAGAGAGTAAATACAAACATATTAACAAAAAGTCACACCTGTACTAGAAATGAGTGGACAGAGAGCTGATTGGTTGATAAAAGGGGAAGACGGCTGGTGAGATGACGTAACTGACAAACAGGAAAACACATCACCAGATCATGTGAAACGAAACCAAATCAGATCAAACACAATGCAAAGCAAATCTAAACGGTCAATAAAAACGA